CAGAGAGCCCACCTGTCCCTCAGTCCCCTACTGAGCAGGCCAGGCTGGAGTAAGTACAGAGGCCAACCCACCAGGCCTGCCACGTGCTCAGGGCTTCAGCATTGCTTCCCCCAGCGGGGGTTCCATGTGCCTCATGCCGCAGAGCTGGGGGACTCTCAGGCCCACCCTCTCCCAGATATATGCGTCCTCTGTTATCCTAGGGGTAGGGAAGCAATTCCATAGTGGTCCCTGTGCTTTGATAGTGACACCTTAACAGCCTCAACCAGAAATGAGGACACAGACTCCCAGCCTAGAGCCCATTCTCCCAGGAAGAAGGCAGGATAAGCTATCTAGGGTGTCTAGGGTGCTGTATGGTGTGGGGGAAGAGAAACAACCTCGGACTTAGGGAAGGGCAGGGACCGAGGCCAAAAGAGGCTGGAGGGGCTGAAAAAAGACAGTGGATCACGTTCATTACTTCCACATAAACTGAGTGCCTGTTGTGGTAGCTCAGTCAGTAAAGGATAAGACTCGCAAGCTAAAGCCTATTGTTTACTAGGCCCTTTTCTTGGCATGGGTCATAGCTCTCTGAGCTACCAGGCATGAGACAGCTGTCCCCTTCCCCTGCTCTGAGGGTCCTTGTCTAGAATCAAGACCGTGAACATGAACAGCAGCAAGGTTGCAAGTTAGACATTAAGCAGAACTTCTCCCCATATGTTGAACTGGAGATGTTTGGTTGGTACTGACCCTCCCCAGATATGGAGGACTGAACAGGGACTGGCCTTGGGGGGTAAGTCCTGGGTCTGCTCAGCGCATGGACTGTTCCCCTGTGTGTCTGTGTGTGCCTGCAATTTGGGGCAGTGCCCAGGGGCCCAGTAAGGCATGTACACCACCCTGGGCTAGGTTGTGTCAGACATCCTCACTGACAAGTGCCTCCCTCCAGAGCCCGGTTCCTGGAGAATGTGGCAGCGGCAGAAACAGAGAAGCAGGCAGCACTGGCCCAGGGCCGGGCAGAGACACTGGCTGGGGCCGTGGCCGATGAGGCCGATGGACACCCAGGTAAGTAGGCAGGTGGGTAGAATCCACTCGTGTTGCCCTGTTGCTCCACAGAGGGCAGGATGCTAAGAGCTGCTTCTCTTTTCTAGATACCCGGGAACTATGGGGCTCCCCAGAACCAGGCCCTGCACCCAGAACACCCCAGAGCCCTGTCCCCCGAGGTCTGCTCCAGGCCCAGCGGAGCCTTGAGCCAGAGCCCAAGGTGCCACTGGCCCCGCCAAGCCCCAAGGCTGAGCCCATTCAGGAGTTTCCTATCCGTGTACCCAAGCTCTCCATTGGAGACCTGGACTTCTCAGATCTGGGGGAGGATGAAGACGAGGACATGCTGAATGTGGAGGCTGTGGAGGCTGTGAAAGGGGTCCCACCCCCACCACCCCCACTGCCTGCGCTCTCTGGAGGCCCCCCGCCTCCTCCGCCTCCACCTCCCCCACCCATCAAAGGCTCACTCTCACCACCTCCACCTCCGGCCGCCCCACTTCCTCCCTCAGCACCTGATGGTCTAGCCCTCCCCAGCAAGAGGAAGACAGTAAAACTCTTCTGGCGGGAGCTAAAGCTGGCTGGGGGCCACGGAGGCTCTGGGAGCCGTTTTGGGCCTTGCCCCACCCTGTGGGCCTCACTGGAACCTGTCTCAGTGGACACAGCCCGGCTGGAACACCTGTTTGAGTCCCGTGCCAAGGATGTGCTGCCTTCCAAGGTAAACCCACCCTCATCTGCAGGGTAACCCCAGTGGAGACAGGAGGCAATCAGAGCTTAAGGGTCTGAACTGCCGCTCATTTCCCACATGGGGGAACCAAGGCAAAGAAAGGCATCAAGTCTTGTCCAAGGTCTCTCAACAAGGTATCAGCAGAGCCCTAACTAGAATCTCAACTCATCCCAAGGCCTTACACATCCCAGATCCCTGGTTGTGGGGTGACCCCACCATCTGGCCATTTAGGGGGATTTAAGAGTGCCCTCTTCAATTGTTGCCCCAGCTAGTTCTTTTCCCAATCTCATTACCACCCTTCTCCCCAACCTTAAAGAAAGCTGGTGAGGGCCGCCGGACAATGACCACAGTGCTGGACCCCAAGCGCAGCAACGCCATCAACATTGGCCTAACCACCCTGCCACCTGTGCATGTCATTAAGGCTGCCCTGCTCAACTTTGATGAGTTTGCTGTCAGCAAGGATGGCATTGAGGTGGGGATACCAGCTAGGGGGGTGGGAGGGAGGTGGGTGGTCTGGCCCTCTCCTTTGGTCAGTGGGCATTTCCTGTCCCTCCAGTGGTGGGCATGGGCTTGGTATTTCTAGAGCAGTCCCCAGACCCTGGGGATCCCCTGGATGACCTAGGGACGAGTCCAAACCAATGCCTAAAGCCTCAGGCCAGGACTGAAGGGACTCTGGGGTGGTGGCTGCATCCTCAGAAACTGCTGACTATGATGCCCACGGAGGAGGAACGGCAGAAGATCGAGGAGGCCCAGCTAGCCAATCCTGACGTACCCCTGGGCCCAGCTGAGAACTTCCTGATGACCCTTGCCTCCATTGGGGGCCTGGCCGCCCGCCTTCAACTCTGGGCCTTCAAGCTGGACTACGACAGCATGGAGCGGGTACTTGGATTATGGGGTGGGGCAGAACCTGGGCCCGGTGAGCATGAGGACCAGGTAATTTGAGAGTCCCTCCATCACCTCCCACTCCAGGAAATCGCAGAGCCACTATTTGACCTGAAAGTGGGCATGGCACAGCTGGTACAAAATGCCACCTTCCGCTGCATCCTGGCCACTCTCCTGGCTGTGGGCAACTTCCTCAACGGTTCCCAGGTGAGTGGCAGCACACGAGGGCGGGGGGCCAGGGCCCTGGAGCCAGCTGGGCCCAGGCTCAGACGGGAGTCCTTTCAGAGCAGCGGCTTCGAGTTGAGCTACCTGGAGAAGGTGTCAGAGGTGAAGGACACAGTGCGCCGGCAGTCATTGCTGCACCATCTCTGCTCCTTGGTGCTCCAGAGCTGGCCTGATTCCTCGGACCTCTACTCAGAAATCCCTGCCCTGACCCGCTGTGCCAAGGTTAGCACCAGCCAGAGGCTTGACTAAGCCCAGCTGTGGAAACGAGGGCGTGCTGCTTCCTGGGGCTGGCTCTCCCTTCCCAACAGTTTGGGCTGTTGTGCCGGAGTGTGCTCAGCTAGAGGTGTCTGCATGGGCTGTGTCCTTGGCCAGAAACACTCTTTCCTCTATTGGCCTGGCTACACACACCTGCTGTCTTTGGGCCTCCATTCAGCCACTTCTCCCAAGAAAGCTTCTCTGTCCCACATTAGATTAAATGGACTTGTCGGTCTCCTGCAGTAGACTGTGTGCTTTTGGAGGGCAGGAGGCAGGTCTTGGCTGTCAGGGCCCGAGCCGGCTGACCTGACGGAGGCAGCCACAGGTGGTGCCTTTCCGTGGGGGGACAGCACATGTACCCCCTGCTTTTCCAGGTGGACTTCGAGCAGCTGACTGAGAACTTGGGGCAGCTGGAGCGTCGGAGCCGGGCAGCTGAGGAGAGCCTACGGAGCTTGGCCAAGCATGAGCTGTCCCCAGCCCTGCGTGCCCGCCTCACCCACTTCTTGGCCCAGTGTGGCCGCCGTGTTGCCATGCTGCGGGTAGTACACCGCCGTGTCTGCAATAGGTAGGCACGTGGGCCAGAGAGGCAGGACCGCCACCGCCATCCCTCAAACCCCACGCGGGACTCACCATCCCCCCTCCCCCACCCCGCCCAGGTTCCACGCCTTCCTGTTGTACCTGGGCTACACGGCACCCGCGGCCCGGGAAGTGCGCATCATGCAGTTCTGCCACACGCTGCGCGAGTTTGCCCTGGAGTACCGCACGTGCCGGGAACGGGTGCTGCAGCAGCAGCAGAAGCGCGCCACCTACCGGGAGCGCAACAAGACCCGGGGCCGCATGATCACGGAGGTGGGCACCCTTCCAGGTCTGGCCTACCTCGCCCTGTGGCTCCCTTCCCCTGCTCCCAGCTCATCCTTCTCTCTTCTGCAGACAGAGAAGTTCTCAGGTGTGGCTGGGGAAGCCCCCAACCACCCATCTGTCCCAGTGGCTGTGGGCAGTGGGCCAGGGCGGGGTGATGCCGACAGTCACGCCAGCATGAAGAGTCTGCTGACCAGCAAGCCGGAGGACACCACACATGGCCGCCGCAGCAGAGGTGGGACCTGTGGCCACTGGGAGCAATGGGCTTTGCAGTCACTGTGACCTGACTTCCTCGTCTGGCCTCCCTTAGGCATGGTCCAGAGCAGCTCCCCAGTCATGCCGACAGCAACAGGGCCCTCCACTGCACCCCCAGAAGAACCCCCAGGCTCCAATTTACCCAGTGACACTTCCGATGAGATCATGGATTTGCTGGTGCAGTCAGTGACCAAGAGCAGTCCTCGTGCCTTAGCTGCTCGGGAACGCAAACGTTCCCGGGGCAACCGCAAGTCTTGTGAGTACTTCCCAAACGCCCACCACCCACCTTTATTCCATCAACCCCCTCCAACACTGCTCTGTCCCTGCAGTGAGACGGACACTGAAGAGCGGGCTCGGAGAGGACCTGGTGCAGGCCCTGGGACTGAGCAAGGGTCCTGGCCTGGAGGTGTGAAGGCCTTGCCTCTGGACACCTACCTACTGGGGCCCCAGCCTGCAGTGCAAGAGACTAGAGAGTGAGGAGGGATCAGCAGAATTCTGGGCCTCTTTCCAACCCCAGGGCCACTCTGTGCCCAGTGGACAATGCCTTGAGCAGTATTAGCTATGCGTGCCTGTGTGCAAGTGTGTTTGTGTGTGTGTGTGTGTGTGTGTGTACTTGTACACGTACTTGTATAAGCTCCCTGAATACATGGAGTATAATAAAGTTTTCATAGCCAACCCAAGCACCTTTTCCTTCTTTCAAGGTACCCACCACACTCGGTCTGCAGCTGGAGGCTAGTACCAAAGGACTGGCTCTTCCTGCCTCGCCCTTCCATTATCACCCACACAGCCATTAGCCACATTCTGAGCCATTTATTCAACAATCCTATACCTTACACTGCTTCTGGGCCCTGGACTAGGCCCTCCTTGCTCCTGGCAGGGGGCCATGCAGCCTGTGGCCAAAATGTCACTGGCTATAATCGCTTCATCTGCCGCCGCTCCTGTCGGCGCTGCCGTTTCTCATTGTGCTCTGGTGCTGGGGTGCCACTGTCTGCCGTGAACCAAGGACCCAGCACATTCACCCAGAGGAGATAAAGGGCCCGGCCTGGAGCCTAGGACAGAAAAGGGAACTTGAAGCCAGGCACAGGAAATGAAAGAAGGGAAGGATTAGATGCTCCAGCCCCCTCCTGGAAGCCCTACAAGCCACGCACCAGAAGCCAGAAAGACCAGATGTAGAGGGAGAAGCAGCTGAGCACTTGCACGATGGCTGTCAGTAGGATCACATCTTTAAGGTGCCTGTGGATAGAAGGGAGGCTGAAAGGGCCAAAAATAGTACATAGGCCCCAGTTCATCTCCCTTCTACCCTCTTCAAGTTGCAGGCAGTTGTGGGTCTTGGGCTATCTGGGCCCCAACACCCCAGCCCTGGGGCCGCTCACCTGGGCTGGCAGCGGGGGACACTCACTCTGCCATGCCCTGCTCCATGTTGAGGTCCATTCCACCATCCATCAGGGCCCCATCCTCAGAAAAGGCTGCCCGTGCCATCGAGCTCATAGAGTGGTAGCTGGCCCCATATACTGCCAGACTAAAGGCCAGGGCCATCTGCATAAAAAGAATGGTATCAAAGGCCAGCCAGAAATCCTATAAGCTTATCCACTTCCCACGATAGGGGACACTTACCCAGGCCCAAAATGAGGCAGATGAGTAGAAGAACACCAAGGTCACAAGACAGTAAATGGCCTGTAAGCAGATATACGATCAGGCTGTGATCAAAAGATACCCTAAACCACGGGCTTTCCTTGACTCTGACCAAGAGTTAGGCCAGGCTGTGGAAAGAGACAGTTGTTTCTCTTAGGGTTGGTGGGTGAAAGGGGTCTGTTCCCTGAGTTCTGAGCACCCAGAATCCCCTCTGATATGTCAGCCCAAGAAAGAAGGCCCTGTGTATCTGGGGTGGGATGGACTGGGCTCAAGTCCATCTGACTCTCAAACCCTCCTCTCATTTTTTATTTTGTTTTGTTTTGACTACTCAGCACTTTCTTTGTGCCCGGATCCATTCTCATTTCTTTTTTCCTTTTCTTTTTTTTTCTAAGATTTTATTTATTTAGGGGGGCCTGGGTGGCTCAGTGGGTTAAGCCTCTGCCTTCGGCTCAAGTCATGATCTCAGGGTGCGCCACATCGGGGGCTCTGCTAAGCGGGGAGCCTGCTTGCCCCCCCTTCCTCTCTGCCTACTTGTGATCTCTGTCAAATAAATAAATAAATAAAATCTTTTTTTAAAAAGATTTTATTTATTTATTTATTTGACAGAGAGACAGCGAGAGAAAGAACACAAGCAACGGGAGTGCGAGAGGGAGAAGCAGGCTTCTCACAGAGTGGGGAGACCAACTCGGGGCTTGATCCCAGGACCCTGGGATCATGACCTGAGCTGAAGGCGGACGCTTAACAACCGAACCACCCAGGTGGCCCGTTCTCATTTCTTTTCAATTCCAGTTTTGAAAACTACACATGGCTGTCACACACCACCCACCCCCACCCCACACACCAGAGCTGACTGTGGGATCTCGGGTAGGCAAAGAGGTAGGTACTTACATTGGCCCCCAGTATGATTCGCAGATAGAACTTCAGAGTCTCTTTGTTCTCTTCAAATATCTGCTTCTTCCCCCTCGTGCCCACTTTGCCCTTGGGCTGCAGAGGGATGGTAAGATGCTGTCAGAGCCCTCCTCAGCCAGGGTCCTCCTCACCCTCCTCCCCAGTCTGGTCAGGTACAGAATTAAACCTGCACCCAAGCCAGGTCCCCATGGTGCTTAAATCTAGCACAATCCTTGGGATGCCCACCCCTCCTCCAGTCCACCCTGTTTAGGGCTGACACTATCTGTGCAACACCTTTACCGATGATCGCCTCCTGCTCACCCTGGAACAATCCAACACTAGGTTGATCATCTCCCAGCTCTCCTGCTGAGACCCAGCTTTGGGCTGACTACCCCTTCAAGGGGAGCTCCTGAGTGGCACTGAATAGTGCGCCCCTCCAGATCTTGACTGACGCCCACCCGTTTCACAAGCCCCTAAGGTCTCCTATCAGGTCTGGTACAATCTGGTACTGACGCCCACTCCCCTCCCGCACTACTTCTGCTATGGCTGTGGGTCGCTCCATTCCCCCTACCCCGCTAGCTCTAGAATGGTCTGGCCACTGCATGGCGCCCCCCTCTGGCAGATCCGCTTCCTTCGATGTCCTTCCTCTGTTTTTAGTCTCCCGGACCCGGGAATCCTCTGCCGTTGCGAACCCCGCCCTATCCGCCCTCCTTACCGCCATGGCGCGACGCAAACAACCAGCGAGGAAAACAAGGGAGAGCGACCGAAACCGCGGTCAGTAGGTACCACATCGGCAGTACAGGCACTTCCGGTGCAGACGCAAATCGTCACAACTGTGACGGAAGTGGGGAGGGTCCACTTCCTTCCCAGTCCCTCCCCGCACCCAGAGTCGGTAAGACTACACTTCCCAGAAGGCCTTGCATGGGGGCGGAGGCGGCAGGGATGCGATGGCGGAGTCGCTGCCCCTGGAGGTGAGAGGAGGCCGCCCTGAGGCCCTGCTTGGGACAGGCTCCGCCCTCGGGGTCCCAGGTTGTGGGGAGGGGCTGTCAGACAGCTCACCTGGCTCCGCCCGCCTGGCGGAAACTACCTGCCCGAGAGGTCGAGGTCGAGATCGCAGGACCTGCAAGCTGTGGGTAACGGCCCCGCCTTGGGCCATCCCGTCCCCTTATCTTGGGGGAACCGTTCTCTCCTTACCCATCGGCCCCAGGAGATGGCTGCCGTGTCACCTCAGCGAGGACAGGGTCTCTGCCTACCCCCTTCTCTAGAGATGGCCACCCCTCCCGCTCAGTTCTGGAAGATGTCCGTTCCATCCCGTCGTCCCCGAAGGATAACCGATCTTATCCTTCTTGGGCCCCTTGGGATGATCACTCCATTCCCTCTGCCCAGCAAGACGGCTGCCCCATCCCCCTGGCGGTGGGAGACAGACTGACCCTTCCATCAACTCCGGGCACAGTTGCTGGATTACTTCGCCTAGGACAGGGCTGCTCCCCACTCCCTCAGTCCGTAGTGATGGCTGTTCCTACCTCCTTCACCCAATGGGATGTTTGCTCCTTTTCCTTAGCTTGGAGCAAGGCCACTCTGCCTCCACTGGCCAGAGAGAGAGAATAGATTTTTGTTCCCAGGGGCTCTTGGGATGGCCTCTCTGTCCCTTTTGCCTTGAAAGTTGGCATCCCCCTCCCTTGGTCCGTGGGAGACAAGTCACCCTTTCCTCATCGGCCCTGGAACGGTGCTTCTTCCCCTTAGCAAGAATAGGACAGCTTCTACCTCCTTTAGCCACCTACCATGGCATCCATTATCTCCTGGGCACCAAAGGATGTCTACTACATAGATCCGAGGAATAACCAGTCATATCTCTAGTAGTAGCCCCTTAGGATAGGGTTAATGGGATGGTAACTGCATCCTTACCATTGCCTCCTCTTTCCTCTAGAAAAGCTACCCCCTTTCTCAACTCAAAGAGCCATGCTCCCTCCCCTCAGTGAGGACAGTTTATTGCCCTCTCCTGTTGCTTTTTGGGTTGGTTGCTGAGCCCCAGAAGACAGGATGGCCACTGTCTTAACTTGGCTCAGACAGGCTTCCCTGCCTCCCCCTGGGGTTGGGGGCTTAGTCAGTCCCAATCTCATCAGTGTTCTCTTCCCCATGCCTAGCTTTCCTGACCCAGAAGGCGGTTCTCCCCAATCTTCTCAGTAGTGATCTGCTTTATCTTCCCCACTCCTTCCCTGGGCAAACCTTTGGTGAAAATTGAGGTAGAGGGCTTTGGTGAAAATAGAGATAGAGCACTATCCATCTTTAATTCAATCTAATGACTATTGGCTAAGTAACTTCTGTGTGTTAGGGATCAAAGAAAGGAAGAAGAGGTTAGAATGGGCTGGTGACGTCAAGGTTAAGGAAAGGCATTCCTGGAAAGAGGCCTACATAGGCAAAAGGTAATAGGCATAGTATGGCTGTAGGACAATGGGAAGCCTGAACTGGGGAAGCTCTGGGGTCAGGGGTCCAGTCAGGCATAGGGCCTGGCAGGGTCTTGCTTGGGGTCTCGCTGACCCAAGAGTGGAGATTTTGTCCGGAGAGTACTGGATACCCTGAAGGTTTTCATCAGGGATGTGCTAAGACTAAAAGCTGTTGTTTTTTTTTTTTTTTAATTATTTAATTATTTATTTATTTATTTGACAGATACAGATTACAAGTAGGCAGAGAGACAGGCAGAGAGAGAGAAAGAGAGAGAGAGGGGGAAGCTGGCTCCCCTCTGAGCAGAGAGGCTGACATGGGGCTCGATCCCAGGACCCTGGGATCATGACCTGAGCCGAAGGCAGAGGCTTTAACCCACTGAGCCACCCAGGTGCCCGTAAAAGCTATTTTTTAAGGAAAATTAACCTTGTCACTGTGTGCAAATTGACTAGCAAGGCTGAGCCTGGAGGCAAGGAGGTTAGGTGGAAGATTGTAGAAGGAATCCAGGTGTGTGCTGATAAAGATCTGGGCTACTGAGGTGCTAAAATTTCAAAGGTAGAAATATTAGTAACAGCAGTCCAGCAAGCATTTATGGAACATCTACTAAGTGTCAAGCACATCATAATATCTGTGTGTGTGTGTGTGTGTGTGTGTGTTTGTATAATGGAAACAGAAGCTCAGAGAGATCGGTTACCTTGCCTGAGGTCACATAGGTCCCACAGCTTGGAAGTAGTAGAGCTGGGATTTGTTTGTTTTTTGTTTTTTTTTTTTTTAAAGGTTTATTTATTTATTTGACAGAGATCACAAGTAGGCAGAGAGGCAAGCGGAGAGAGGGGAGGAAGCAGGCTCCCTGCTTAGCAGAGCCCCCGATGCGGCGCTCGATCCCAGGATCCTGAGATCCTGACCTGAGCCGAAGGCAGAGGCTTAACCCACTGAGCCACCCAGGTGCTCCTAGAGCTGGGATTTGAATAAGTCTAAGTTATCCTGGCCTAAGACTGTGCTGTACACCTGTATCTGACAGCAAGAGACAGAAGATCCTGAAGAGTCCGCAGTATTATCAGGATCTTCAGGCAAGATGCACTAGTGGCACTGAAGCTCAGGTGCTGGAACGTTGGGAGCAAGGGATGTTTTGGACTGAGAATGTGAATTTGGTTGAGATGAAAGTGATAGTAAAACATTTAGATGATGGATCCTGTGGACAATTGGCAACACTACATTAGCACATGAATGGTGAGACAATATGGGGATACTGAATTGTTGGTTTTTCCTGTAGAGGTAACTGTTGAAGCCATGCAAATGAACTTATTATCCTAGGAAGTAAACAGATTGAAAGACCAGGTCTGAGCCATGGGAGCCACAGAAGACTCCAGAAACAGGGCATTTGGAGTTGGAGAGTGGAGCTCTAGAAAAAACAATGTCACAAGAGTCCAAGAGGGAAAATTCCAGAAGAACAGTTAATATTAGATCATTCTTGGCCTCACAAGTGACTCCCTCCCCAGTTCCCTGTAGGGCCTCCAACCTCATGACCCCCAGCCTTACAGAGCATAGGTGCAGTGAGGGCCTGAGCTGGGTCCTATTGGGGATCATAACAGCCAGCTGAGAAGGCGAGTTGACAGTGGAGAAAATGGGGAAAGAGGGAGGACCCATAGCCTGACCTTTGAGGGCAGGAGGAAGGGATATGGTTTCCAAAGATCAGAGGAGGATACCTTACTTGCTGACCTAGGTCTTAGGCAAGACACTTCACTATGTCTTGTTTTTTAAGATTCTATTTATTTGAAAGAGACAGTGAGAAAGCTAGAGCACAAGAGCAGGGGGAGGGAGATGCAGGATCCCCACTGAGCAGGAACCCCAATTCGGGACTCAATCCCAGGACCCTGGGATCATGACCTGAGCCGAAGGCAGATGCTTAACCAACTGAGCCACCCAGGCGCTCCGACCCTTTACTATGTTATTAAATTCTCAGCACAACCCATTTAAACCTCACTACCATTGCCATTTTACAGAATAGGAAAAACAAGGCTCAGAGAGGTCAGTTGATAAGAGTAAGGATTTGAACTAGGTTTATCTGGTCCTAATGCCCAGGCCTATTTTACCAAACTGAGTGGGAAGTTTGCTTTTTATCAGTCAGTACAAACTTGCATCCAGGGAAGACTCAGGAATGGTTTGTTCACAGTAGAGATGCCTGGAGGCCAGAGAGGGGGAAGTGAAGACCCCATGAAGCTTAGGACTCAAGATGAACTAGAAGCCAGTGTTCCAGTCCCCTCAGACTGACTGCACTGTCAGCTGGAGAAGTTTCTAAGGACCCCCAGCTCTAATAGTTCCCAATGCCCTGTCTTTTTCCCTCAGATGCTCACACATATTCTGAGCTTTCTGCCTCTGTCAGATCAGAAAGAGGCCTCCCTCGTGAGCCGGGCTTGGTACTGTGCCGCCCAGAATGCCCTTCGGGAGGTAAGGTGGCCAGCCTCACCTGGCCCATTCTCAGCTGTCTCTCACTCCAGTTTGCTCATGGCCCTGCTCGTATGTCATCCATTCATTCATTCATCCATGCATACATATACATACGTTACATTCATACACACTTGACTCTGGGTACAGTGCTGGGACTTTACAGATGAGTAAGACATAATCCCCTGCCCCAAGGAGCTCACAGTCCAGTGAAGGAGAAAAGCAAGTACATGAGGGTTGGTGATGTCGTGTGCTTGGTGCTGTGACACTGGAATGAAGGGTGCACCAAGAACAGGAAGAAGGACGTCCAAAGGAGACCAGCAGCATCAGGGAAGGAAGGCTTCCCAATGGAATAGGATGAGGGGGAAGGTTGGTCTCCCAGGAACCGGTGACAGCACTGGGAAAGGCACCAAGGTGTGAAATAGTTCTGGAAATGACCACACAAGTTCCCTAAGACTAGAACTGAGATGTGCATAGAAGGGGTGGGAGATGGGTGGGGGGAGCAGGTCAGACCACAAGCTGGCACTCTTGTTGGGGCCCAATTACCATCCGAGAGCCTGTAAAGGAATATTAAGGCAGAGAAGTGACATGGTGTGATGTCTTAGAACTCCAGTGCTGAGTGGACTGGGGAGGGTGAGTTGGGATGTGGGGAGACAGCCCATCTCGGAAGTGAATGCAGACATCTGCGACAGTTTGAAAGGCAAGTGGTGACAGCTCCTTGTTTTCATTCTGACTTCTTTGATCACTACTGAGGTTGAACAGTTTTCTCATTAGCTGGCCATTTATATTTCCCTCTCTTATTTATTTCTGTTCTTTATCCATTTAACCATTGGCATCTTAGTATTTTTCTTATCTGTCTATATGAACCTTTTATATATTAAAAAGATGAATCTTTTACATATTTATTGAAATATATTCCTAACATATTTGCCTCTGTATTTGAGTTGTGGATACAAACTTATTTCTGAGACACAGAGGTTAAATTTCTATGTTGTTGATTCTGAACATCTTTTGCTTTCTTATTTCTTCCACTGCTTTTTAAATTTAGAGACCCCTTGCTTCTTCATGATTTGATATACACTCA